CATAGACGAAGATGGTAGAATTAGTCACTTGCACTATTTTCGTACAAAACAAAAATTCATATAGTGTTTATATCAAGATTTTATAATGGGAAAATATTTGGTATAAAATTATCAACTTCAAACAAAATATTCCTTCAAAAGCACTTTTCAAACATATTACAAATGCGCATGTTCAGCAGCTAGTAAAAGTTATTCTTCATCATGTACCGCACTTACTTCTTACAACAAAAACCTAGCCTACCTATGACCATGCAAAATGATATCAAACAAGGAAATTATGGTATGAAATCAACAGATGAATTTGGACTTTCTTTTAGAGTGGGATGAATTTGAAGTTCTAAAAGTATTGATTCCGTAACAAAGGTAATAGGGAACAGGGAGTAATGTTTAGTATATAACGAATAGACATTGAAACTGAATCTATATCAAAGACAAGCTCATCCCTAAGCTATTATAAAGTTGGATTAGATGGTAATGATCACAAGAAGTCACATACCTATGACCAAACTCCTCCAGCGTTGTCAACAAATCTCAACCCAGAAAGTTTCCTTCCAATAAGGTCTCTCAACTCAATCTCACCAGGAAATCTCTGCTCCTTCAACTTAGAAAATACCTTCAGAAAACGGATAATATCGGTCAACAGTCATCTTACCCCCAAAAAAAAAAAAAAAAAAAACCAGAATAAGGTTTCAAAAGAATCTTACCATTTCACCGTTGCAATATACTTCGAAGGCTCCAGAACTTTGTAAGAATGACTGGATAAAATTTCCAAATAGCCAAGTGCTTGCAATGCTTCCAAACCTATTTGCACGCAATGAATAGTACCAAGGTGGCGGTGCCATCCCCAACCTAGGAAAAATGTGTTCCCCTGCCGTTATTATTCCAATAACCCCAAACTGAACGACAGGTACTACTTTACTAAGAAGACGCTTTGGGAGTGGCGGGGGGTAATTTGCCAAAATAACTTCAACTCCAGGAAACGACGACTCCAGCATATTTTTCATGTTTATCGCAGTACCTCTGCCACAGGAAGCGTAAAATCATTTCACAGCAAGCATTTCCACAAATTGAGATAACATGACGGTACTACTACATTTTAAAGAGACAACCCCAAAACATATAGATCAAACGCAAGGCACACAGCTTCTGAACATTTCCTATTTGTAGTGTGTGTGTGTGGGGGATCTGGAGCAAATATCAAAGTTCACAAAGAAAGATAATTAGGGATTACGGTGAAATCTACCGACAAACTTGGCATAATAACTAACACCATTATGTAAGTGCCTGTGCGATGCTTCCTTGATACAAGTAAAGAAATATATGATATTTACTCCATGAAGAACATTGGATAATTTATTGGCCAACTTGGAATCACGAGTGAAATTATTTTTCGATAATATCATGCAACAACAAAAAGGTAATTTAGTAAATGCTACTCTAATTAGACTTGTGCTCGATTCTTATTCTGTATGAGTAGAGACCAAAATTCTGTCGTTCACAATCCAGTTCATTTTTTCTAAACCTAAATGAAAATTAACTTGCAAGGCATAATCTACTGAAGTTGCTTATCAATGCAACACTAAAGCATGCTATAGGTAAGTTCATTTTATAGGTTCTCAAAAAGCTGAAGTCAATTGAAACCTACATTTTTATGCTATGCCTTGCTCCATCTCAGACAACCTAACATAGAGAAGTTGGCTCCATATGGAAATTTATTACAAATTGTTTCTATATGTATGCAATTATGTTCGTTCAGCACTCGTCTTGAACAAAAACAAGCATATTAACAGAGGAACAACACCAGTGAAGAAGAATACAACAAACTTTTTATTATAATCACTATGAATTCAACAGCTGCTAGAGAGTAGAGAAACTGAAATATTTGTTCAACTTAGGAAGCTAACAATGCTGTGATTAAAATAAGCTAAGAAATCATGATTAACCGAACAACAACAGTAAAGCAGACTCGGCCTGTTTTTCATGATGATGACTCTAACCGACCACAAAGGAGGGGAGAAATTGAAATAATAGTTCGATCAAGGATGTTAAGGTAATAAAAGAAATCCATGCTAATCAAAGGTAAGGAGAAAAAAAAATCAAGATCAAAGGAACAACAAAGATTCCGAAGTATAACTAATTTTTCATCATAATGACTCTCAGCAATCACTAAATAGTAGAGAAATCGAAATGATAACTAATCGAGGAAGTTAAAGGTAAAAGAAACCTGGACTTATAGGGAAAAAAAAAACCAAGAAAAACAAAGAAATCGTGTTTAAAAGAAGAAGAGGCAAAACTCCGAAGTACAACCGACTGTTCATCATAATGAACCTTAAAAACCACTGGAGATTTAATGTTCTAAAATAACAACCACTAGAAGGTAGAGAAGTCGAAACGTTTGTTTAATCGACGAAGGAAGTCAATAATAACAAAAGAGACCTACACTGAGAACAAAAAATGTTCGTTCAATCGAGGAAGTTAATGATAATCAAAGAAACGTGTGCTAAGGAAAAACAAACAGACAGAGCAATCAGATTCTCCTTCACTATAAGTTTACCGCAATATGATGCGTGATCACAGTCGATGAAAACTGGAGGAGAGAAAAAACACAAGAAAGGAAAATCACATAAACGTTTTGATTCGCTCACTTCCCGCCCAAAATGAGACAGATAAACACAAAAATTGGCAATCAAGACGATGAACTACCTGAAAGAGCAAGAAACACAGAAATTGATATTAATAACGCTGCCCTGGCCAATTCCTCCGATTCCACTCCGTTTCTGCAATCCAAAACGAGACGAAAAATTAAGTTGTAGAATATAAAAAATAATAACAAAATTCAAGAAACGTACAATCAAACATGAAATCATTAACCTCCGTAGGAAATTCAAGCGGTTCCTGGATGACTGGTTGAGATTTAGGCTGGTAGTGAACTCGAGGTGGAGGATGATTGACAGGTTTAGGAGGCGGAGGCGTGAAAAGATTCACAATATCAGTAAAAAGCAGAAAGATCGGTAGACCTAAAAGAACTATCTGAGTTCGATCCATCGGAATCCACGATGCAAAGCTCTCAAGAATCAGAAACTCGAAGTCCACGAGAGAAGAAGGTGAAATGTTTTGGGGGAAAGCAACACTTCCAAACGAAAATATGAAGCCTATTGAAGGCTAAACTTGTCCTCAAGAAATTACTTTGCCGGGCTTTGGGAATATCTTGAAATGAGATGAAATAACCCAACTACTACGGTATATATACCCAGTCCAAATGCACGTACACGAGTCACACTCATGGGCCCAATGGGCCTGGACCCAAAAGTTCTTGGGCTTGAAGAAAACAGAAGGCCCAATATTTCGCTACGCCTAAAATGTAAATGAGAAATGCCCTGGTCTAACGATATTCTGCCTAAGTCAACCCTTTCATAGTGCACAAACTTTATTTTACCGAAAAGTAAAACTTTACAGTTTGATAAATTATTCAGTGAAACGTGACAATTCAAACATTAACTATATTTTTGAGTTAAAAGTTAAAAAAATAATAACATAAAAATATGTTCCCTCGTCCGCCTATTTTTGTAACTCACATCACAAACTTTATGGCTTGGAATAGAAGGAATCAGAGATTGGTCTAAACATTTGACCTTTGCAATGTTGACAACAATAGTTGTACAGATTAAATTAGGGACCCACGGATGCTTGTTCCTATTTTTGCGGGGGGACCCACATGTGATGTTTTTACCATCCTAACCCCGGTGTGTACAATTCATAGGCCCATATGGCAGGACTTGCAGGTCATTTGACTTTTTTTTTATAGTCAATTTAGGTAAAAAGAATTGTTTCGTTTTCAAATAAATGATCTTGACTTTTCCCATTGAATGTTTATCGAATTAATTCAAATAATACATTTGGACAAATAGATTACTATTTATTTTTTATTATTATTATTATTTTAAATATGTGGGTGAAATTCCAACCTTTTGACTTTAACTAATGCATGTTCTTAAAAAAAAAAAAAAAAATGCATAATTGAAATGATGTTCACGTTGGCTCTTCTTTTTTTCTCTTATTCTATATAAAGAAAAATAATGAATAATAGATATTTTATTTTAAAAAATAAATTCAGATGAAGATTTCATTTAAGAATAAGATGATAAAAAATAATAAAAAAATAAAATTTCAGTTCTCTTAGTAATGGCAGAAATTGAAGCGAGAATAAAGGGAATAGAATGTTGCTGTTATAAATGCTTAATATCCCAAACAAACTACATTAAAATAATGGATTTATTGGATTAATTAAAAGAAAGAATCATACCATGTGAAACTCAATCGACAAGATTTCTGGGGATTGATGAGATTCATGTATTTTAATTATATTATATAATACTCTTCATTTTCCCACCATCCACACAATCTAAAGACTCTCTATTTATATATAATTTTTATTATAATTACTGTTAATTAAGACTTAAATCAATTTTAGTATTTTTAAAATTCTTAAATCTAGTACTTTATTATTTATTATCTTTATAAAATTCCTAATTTGGTAGTTTATTTTTTATTTAATTTCGGTAAATTTTAATTTGGCATTTAAAACGTTCCATATCTAATAAATTCTTCAAATTAGGGTAATCAAAATTAAAGTAGAGTCTCAAAATAGATATATAATTTTTTTTTAAAAAAAAAAACTTGTTTTTTTAATTTTAAATTTGGTTATGAATTAAAATGTTTTTTTTTTAAAAAAAAAAAAAGAAACCTAGGAGAAGATCGATGGTAGAACATGGTGTGTCGGTGAAATATAATAATCGGAAGTGAAGTTACTGTTGGATTTGTGAAAGAAACACGGTTTGGTCAATTTGTGTAACCAAGCTGGACATCATAACGAAACTTCTGGATCATCACATGATTCAAAGTTGATTTCTTCCGGTACAAGAAATTAAAAATTTTATTAAAAAAAAAAAAAAAAACTGCGTTATTCTTTCTGCTTGAAAAATAAATAAGCTTCTAAAATTTCCAACTAATCCTAGATTCCCAATTTCGAAACAAACCAAGAACAAATTTGTATCTATTTGCCACTACAAAATAGGGAAATATGCAAATTTGTCACGCAACACCATTGAAAAAAATGGCTATTCCTTTTAAGAATTTGAAAGAAGTAATCATTCAGAAGAGACCAAAATTTCCTTTTGTAGCCATCTCTAATTATTCATACAAATTTCTATGAACAAAATGATGATGTACCTGGTTCTAAGATTAGGCTAAAGCCGAGAAAAATACTTACACTCTCTAAAGAATAAAGTTGTATATCAAAACAGCATTCGATTGAAAAACTAAACCCAGGAAAGCAAGCCCTGAAATAAGAAAAGTTCAGTTGAAGTAAGGAAATCGAGTTAACTTGAAAAGAGAGCTTCTTCCAATTACCTCAGACAATTATTTATATCCTTACAATAAATTAAATTAAGTAAATTCATTATCTAATATCTCTTCCCAACATAAATACAATATTACAATATCATGTTCTAAAGAACTCAGATATCATCCACGCCTAAAAATTATGCACGACTAATAATTATTAATTCATTCGTATCGATTAGGATATGAATTTATTAGTATATATCAATCACAGAACAAGAATGATTCTTATTATCTAAATGGAACGAATAACTTAGGATTAGGGTAAGTAAACTCCATAATTATATGAAAACGAGAAGGATTTATGAAACAAAAATTGAATAAAAGAAGTTGAAAATGGAAAGAACCTCTGTTGAAGCATGGAAAGAATTACTACATATGATCATCTCTTCTAATCTTGTTTAACAAAGCTGTGATTAAGGCATCTCTTTTCTCACCCCTAATTTCCTCTCTCATTCTCCTTTGTTCTTCTCTTTCCCTCCAACTTCTTTCCAACATAATCCTCTCATGTTCCAAAGCTTCCATGTTCCTTCTCCACTCCATTTCTCTCATTTCCCTCTCCTTTTCCCTTGCCTCAAATGCCTCCCTCCATTGCACCTCCATTTGCATTTGTTGGTTCATGAAATCTTCCAATATTTCTTTCAAACGGCTACCGCTTCCCCCTCCGCCGTCCGTCGCCATCGTCGTGCCTTTAACCTTCTTCCTCTTCCTACTGCTAACCTTCGTCTCGCCCCCGTCGCCGTTACTGTCTTCGTTTTCTTCCTCGTCGTCGGACGATAATGTCTTCATCTTCTTCTTCGATCCACTCCCACCGCTCTCCGCCTCCGCCATGAACATCCTTTGCATTCTTGCTCCGAAAATTGCTTTTAGTTCTGTGTAGAATGGAAATTGTTGCCTTAAATTTTCTGGCTCCATTGTTTCACAACCCTGTATATAATATTATATATCAATTCCACGCCTTTGTTTATTGCTAAGATTTGATCCGGATATAAGCATGAAATTTTAATGATATTTTTTTGTTATAATCATATGATGTAATATGATTGATAAAGATTATATTATAAAAATAGAAGAGATTTAATAATACCTTATAATGAGTAACGAGGTTTTTCCATTTACATTTACACTGTTCAGCGCTGCGATTGAAACCCTTTTCCTTCATTTTGGAGGATGTAATTCCCCACAAGAGCTTGTTTCGTTTGGTTTCCATGAAAGTCTGATCCAGCTCGGCTCTGATCGTTAAAAACTCCTTTGTTTCCTGAAGGCTCCATTGAGGGAATCTGTCGGTGGCGGCGGCGGCGGCGGCGGCTAGGGTTGGATCGGCGGAGACGGTGAGGCTCGGGTGGAGATGCGACGGCGGACGGAGTTGAAACTGTTGCTGGTGGTGGAGCGGAATAAGGTGATGGGGATGATGTCCTTCCATGACTACACAAAGCTTGAGAAAATTATATAGATATCTGAAAGAGAAAAAAAAAAAGGGGAAAAAAGGTAAGGGAGATCGTCGTTGGAAGAAAGAAAATGAAAGGGAAATTTTTTAATATGTGGGTTGGTGTGAAAACCAGATGTGAAATCGTAAAAAAAGAGGGCAAAATAAAAATAAAAATATAAAATATAAATTTTGGGCATAATCTGTTAACGCGGAAATGAAAAATCCCTGAATAAATTTTGAACTATGTTTATTTTTTTTTTTAATAATTATTAAATTATTTGAGTATCCCTTTTGTTCCCATTGCGTTTGCGCGTCGTCAGCCTTACGAGACTGTCCTTCTTGAGGTTGGAGGCTTTATTCCAACTTCTTCACGGCTGGTCCAATCTACACAGCCAGCTTCTATCCCAAGCTTCAATTATTACATAATATTTCTCCTTTTTTTTGTTTATAGTAATTTAATTAATGTAAAGTTTTTTAATTTTGAAGTGTGAAATTATTCTTTTTTTTCCTTAGTAAATTACAATATTTCCATTTTAGTGAAAAGCATGATTATTATACTTGATAAATGCTTTAAAGGGAGGAAATTATCTATTATTTATTAAAAAAAAATCGAAAAAGGGTCTATCCACGTCGTTTAAATAAAATAAAAAACGCGGTATTCTGTGATGTCCCACGTGGGTAAGCCTACAACGTGTTTCCACGTGGCACGCATGCAGACATCATAAGGGAAAGTCCGGCGGACCCACAGGTCATATGGTTCACACCTTGACTAATTCCAAGTCACTGCTTACACATCTTGACCCCACTTTGCCACGTAAGCAATCTCCACCACATCATTCCAATAGCAGTCCACCACGTATCCAGAAGGTGGAAGGGCAACTTGGCTACAAAATAATCTAGAAGGTTTTTATTTACGAAAGTACCCTCGACATTTCTTGAACGACACGTCGTTCTAAACTGACTTTGATACCGGGCCGAGTAAAAAACTGTTGATGTGGTCAAAAGAAATTCTTTTACATTGACCGTCGTCTTCAAATTTCTACGCCTTCCGTGGGACCCACTGCAGAGCTGGCAAGTTATTTTTCGTAAAAGATAGCGCAGCACCTTGATTCTCTTTTTCTACCAAATTCCAATCCAGCAAAGGTTAAATTTATAATTTACTATCTTTTAAGATTTGATTTGGAAAAACTTTAACATTAGGAAAAAAGATGGTTTTTGTTTTAAACATTTTCTTTTGAGATCATTCAAATTAATCAACCATAGATCTTAGTAATTATATATGCATATCATCTCAAACTCGAGACTTGTGAACAAAAGTATGATATATTTTATGTTATGGGTATATGTGGATGGAAGAACAAAACATAACCCAATCGAATTGGAACTAATCTAGATTAACCATACCAAAATCAATTAACACCCAAATTAAAACAATAAAACTCAAGTCCCAATTTAAGCTTTGCCATGAGACAACAAAGGGTTAAAAGCCCGAAGGCTCACCTTAGTCAAGGATGATGTTGATGTGGCCTTTGTTACTCTAGGGTATGCGTTTAACGCACCCCGCTTGATGATGAGACATTGCAGAATTAGTTGAACCTTTTCGATTCGATCAAATGATAGGATCGAAAATTTCAAACTATCAGACTTGAAAGGTACCAATGAAAGGTATCAATGAATTCAAATGAGAATGAAAGCACTTACTTGTATTTTGTGGTAGAGCTTGGGGATCAAGATGGAGTGAGCCACAAGGAAGGGAAAGTCCCAAGGACTTGCCATGGCCCATGACAGATGTTTCACAAGCTTTGAAGAATATTTAAGAAAATACATTTTTTTCCCTATAAAATTTCAACAAAATAACATTTTAAATTATATTTCTCATAAAATACTAATTAATCAATCATATAGTTTTAATATTTTAAATCAAACATCCCAAATATTTCAATTGATAATTTTCCCCATTAAAATACGTCATTTTTTTTTTAAATATTAAGGGATTTTTTTTCCCTAAAAAACAAAAGAAAAAAAAAATGAAAGGAAAAATGTGTGCATAAGGGAGACCGGAATTCCAATGTTATCACTTTAAACGCTTTGACGATTTACGGTAAAACTGAAACGTCACACATTCCATGTCAGTATATGACATCAATCCTACAAAGATCATTATTTATTTTCTTTTACTTTTTTTTGGAATATTTATTGTATTTTTCTTTTTCCTTTTGGAATAATTCTTTTACAAGTTTAAACCTGAGAAACGGAAGAAAAGGAAAAAAAAAAAAAAAAAAAAAAAAAAAGAAGTCAAATGTCAAAAGGAAAGTTACTGGACATAACTTGTTCACAAAATCTAGTCAGACTTAAAAAGTTAAAATTCAACAGTAAAATGTCCAAACCACATCCAATCGACGCCTAATTCACAAAAAGGGGGAAAATAAAAGACAAAAACACATATATATATATATATATATATAGTTTTTTATCCTCAATGTTTTTTCCCTCTTTATATTTCAAATTTTATTTTTTTAGTTCAAAATAAATATAATTCAACCGATTCTTAAAGTTGGAAATTTAAATTTCTATACCATAAATGTTTTGTTCTATCTCTAATTGATGTGGGATCTCACAATCTACTTATCTTAAAAGCCTAACGTCCTTGTCAAAACTCACTGCTAATAGATATTCTTAACTTGCAAAATCACGTGCATTAGGGCAAGAATGAATAATTGGGAATGAAAGGCAATAGTGAAACATTAAAAAAAAAATTGGCAAAAAATCACATCAAGTTCCTTGGTCTTTACACCCCGAAAAAGGCTTCCAAGTGTTGAAAATAATTGATTCTCTTTGTCTCTTTAATGGGTCTAATTAAAATTAATAATCGTACTCTCATATGATTTAGTGAGACAATTTGATCTAAAAAAGCTAAAATAATTAAAATATATGATTGTTGGGAGGGTATCTTGAATTGACTGAAAGAGGAAGAAAACAAAGTTAAGATGTACCATATTTTATTCTAAACATGTCTTGATTTCATATATATTATTTAATTTTAACACTTTCAAAAAGTCATTTTAAATACATTTTTAACAAAATTTAAGTTCAACATTAGTACCCAACCTTATAATTTTAGTAATGTCCCAAATTAGAGTTTAAAAAAATTATAATTTTAGTAAAATCTTAACTTAAATTACTAAAAAAACCTTTAAGAAATGGGCAATAATACATGACATTTCTGGGTTGGTGTGGTCCAATCACGGCCCAATTGAAGAGCAGGTGACATGAAATGGGTTTGTAGGGCTCCAAAAGTTTTGGTTGGTTTCAACACACAAGGGCGTGTTTGGAGGGCATCAAAAACCAAAAGATGCTTGAAGCTATATGTATATATTTCTTTCCTATTTTATGGGATTTGTTTTATTATTAATAATATATATATATATTTTTTTTTTTTTGTAGGGGTAAAGGGATGTAATGAAAATAATCATGCAAAAAGCTTCTTAATGAAGCTGAGTCTAAAAATGCAATTTAAGCAAACATAAAAAAAGGGGGAAGCTGGTGGTTGGAGTGCCAAACAAGACCCACAATAACCCTTATTACTCTTTCGTCCCAATCGAACGCTTAGGAAATAGACAAACACCTCCATTCTTTTTTATTCCAAACCATTTAAACCAAAACTAACCCTACATTTCCCCCTTATTGTCTCTCCCTTTCTTGCCTTAATTTCCTTACTTTTACACGTTGTAGAGGCTTTTTGACCAATGATTCCACCGGTTCTTATAGCTTAGATTTGATTTCTTCGGACCCTACATTACATCTGTTGAAGAAGTGAACAAAACATTTGTTATAACTATGTGGAAACTGAGATACATAACAGGCTAACACGTATAATATATATTATTGATGGGCTTGGACTGTTACAAATGGTACCAGAGTCCAGGACTCCTAAGGGAGTGGATTGCGAGATCCCACATCCTTTAGAGAGAGAGTAAACATTTCTTATAAAGGTGTGAAAATCTGTCTCTATCAATGAAGCATTCTTTGTGAAGGCATGGACTCCTCCAACAAATATATGAGAAAAAAAACTTGAGAGAACTAGATGACCCACCTCATCGATCTAAACATCTCACTTTTTCATTTGTATCGAGCCATGCTTAAACGTGTATAAATTACATTGAATAATGAAAGATCGAAGATGGTACCAATAAATTTTGATCTCGGTCAAATGTAAAATTTTGATTTTGTTTTGATTTATTTATTAGAAAGAAATGGTTAGGAAGAATGAGGATTTAAAGAAGGAGGGTTAAGAATAATTTGATGGGAAGCAAAATGAATCAAAATCCATAAAACGAGGGACAAAGTGGGAAAGCGAGATAATAAATTAGCAGTTATCATTCTGTCTGTATTCGAGGAGTTCGATTAAAGAAGAAATAAAATAAAAGAAATAAAAACTCAAGAGAACAAAAAGAGAGAGAGAGAGAGAGAGAGAGAGAGAGAGAGAGAGAGGGTAATTAAAAATAATTTAAAATACAAAATTGGGAGGAAAAAAAAAAAAAAAAAAA